GATTTAGGGTTGTTATATTTTCTTTCCTTTTTTAATATATATATATATATATATATATATATATATATACATATATATATATATATATATATATATATATATATATATATATATATATATAATATATATATATATATATATATATATATATATATATTATATATCTATATATATATATCTATATATATGGGTCGGTTTGTCGGTTTTAGGTATGGGTTGGTTTCTCGGGTTGGATGGGTCGGTTTCTGGGTAAAAACCGAAACCGAACCCGATTTTTCGGTTTTTAAAAAATCAAAACCCTAACCGTCGGTTTTGCTTCGGTTTTGGTTTTTTCGGTTTCGGTTTCGTCGGTTTTAATCGGTTTCCCGGTTTCTTGGTTTGGGTTTGCTCACACCTACTTCTCACACCATCTTGCTTCATCTCCTCCTCCTTTTCCAAACTTCTTAGAACCAGACTTCGATAACTTTCTTTTCTTGTTGGACCTTGAAGATCCATCATGCTTTCTTTTCTCACCAACCTCAGCTCTCTCTCCAGACCCTTCTCCCTTAACTGGGTCTCAACATTCTTAGTTTCCCAGATGGCAGCTTTCAAGGTGGTTGGTTGTTTGACCATTGGACCAAAGCCTGATGACAATCCATTAGAAAACTTGTCGACCTTGGAGAGTTCAGCTGGAACCAAAAAAGGAACAAGCTTCATTTTCTCCTTAAAACTTGCAGCATACTCGGTGACACTCATCCTTCCCTTGTTCAGATTATGAAACTCGTTGTTGATCTCCAGATGATCCTGCTTAGAGCAGTACTGCATTTTCAGTTACACCAAAAAGTTTTCTCACGACATCTTGCTAGCTTCTCCCTTGGGCATGGTATCAGCTAGTAGCTTCCACCAGCTTAATAGCCCAGTCTTCAACAGTGTAACCCGGAGAGCAGTCTTTTGTTTGTTGCTGTAGTCGCAACTTTCAAACAACATCTCCATTTCGGAGATCCAATCCATGACTTACTGTGTTGGTCTTCCAGAAGGACTTGGTGGTTTGGATGCCATGAAATCCTTGTACTTACATCCACGTCCATCATTTTCTCCATTGGGTTGGTTTCTTCTAACCACTAGTGGCTCAGCTTGACTAGCAGTCTGATTATATTTTCCTTTATCTGACTGTTTGATGTTCAATTCAGGCTGCTCAACAGGCATTGTAGGCTCATCTCTATTCTATTGAAGTAGACACCTTGTTTCCTCCATCTGGCGATCCAACATCATTTGTATCATTGCTTGTACTCTTGCCATTGTGATTGGCTCAGGTCCAGCTGCTACTTCTGGTGTACGCTCAATCACTTGTGGCTGAGGCTGCTAATTACCATTAGCATTCCATTAGCGATTCCAAATCCACTTTGGGTTCTCTCCATGTCGATCAATAAACCGAAGTAGGAAAATTTAGATCTTTATTTACGTTAGACGTTTAAATCCTCCTTGTCACTCCAAAAAGTTACATGTCAGTTCTAATATCATAGTCGAACGTTTAAAAATCTGAACGCATAAAGTTTCCAGATCCGGTCTGCAACAGACCATAGATCCGATCAATTAATAACATATAGTTCATATAAGGTATAAGTCATTTAGCACATAAAAGCAATTTAGGCATTTTTCCTAAAATAAGCTAGTGCTCATCTCTAGGCATATTTTCTAAATATAGCAGACACTCATCTCAACATAATTGTTTATCATTCTAAGTTTAAGTCTAGAAATCCTACAAGTTCTAATTCACATAAACTAATGCTCTGGTAGCAACTATGACATCCCCAATTTCACGGCCATAAAAGAACGATTTGTTTATGTTTTATTTAAAAATCAGTATATCCTTTTGAAAAATAATGTTGCAGAATTTGTCCCAAAAAATATGATAAAGTTATTATCAAAGCATTTCCGAGGAAATGTTCTTTAATTATATTAAAAATGTTGGGATGTCATCGTCAATACAGTACATAGGCATAAACAGAAATAGTACAAAGCTTTACAAACATCTAATATTCTAATGGCCTATACTCCATTGATCTCTCATCTGATCATCACACCTATACTCTTTTTCCACTACCTGTAAAATAAGAGTTTTTAACCCACAAAAATTAAATTCTTTATTATCATCAAATCATTCAACCCGATTATCCGTTCTTGTTATCCTCACTTTCTGTCCCTAATGCATCTAATTTAAGGGACCTAGCCTAATGATTATCATTGGGATAGACAAAACTGATTAGGGGATTCCTTAGAAATATATGTGAATAAGGCAACCATGGGGGGGGGGGATGGAGTATACCTGGTGAACACGTCGTTCACAAACACCTACAGGTTGCGACCCTGCCAGCGTTCCACTAGACTGCCTAGAATAGTCTGCGGTCGTCATCTATACGCCACTGGATGACCGGATAAACTTAAACATCGAGGCCTCTCATCATTTTATTTCATTTTTCATCATTGTTGAAACATTAAAGTGACCCTCTTAAACTTAAAAGAGATCCGAAGCTGTCTTAAGGAACCGCAGTCAAACTCATCACCGCAGTCAAGAACCGCAACCACTATCATCAGCACTTAGTTTAGTCTTTTATCTGTTTTTCTAGAAGTACTTTCGTTTATCCAATATGCCCAGCGTGGCAACCTTTAACAGATAGGACTTTTGTAATCTTCGAGACTCTATAAATAGAGTTCTCATTTTCAGAATGAATACACATCTATCACGCATCTTGAATCTTATCTTTCATCTTACTCTCTTCTTACTCATAACTTAAAATATAATCTTAACTGTTTGGAATCTCTCTTCGGAGCAAGTCATTCTTGACTTAATCACTAAGTTTGATCTCACTTACTAACTTGGTCTGATTGCATTCCTTGTTAAGAATCAACTTAAGTGTATACTTGATATAATACTTGTTGTCATTTATGTTTCCTTATATTTCCGCATCTAACTTTCTAACCTTCTAACTCTAACTTATTATTATTGTTGAGCTTTAATGATCCTTTGAGTTAAACTTTATTCCGCATTATCACTTGTTCTAACGTTTGTTCAAGTATGACTCAAGTTTTTCTCTCAACAATTGGTATCAGAGCCAAAGTGGTTGCTTTTTGAAGCAAAACTCTGATTTTCAAAAGGCCTTCTATACCACTGAAGCTCATTTCTCAAAAAAAAAAAAACAAAAAATATTTTCAAAACAAGGAAATATGGCACAAGCATTATCTCTCAACGTTTCCAACAGTGTTGGTGGTTCTAATAGAGCCCCAATACTGGTAGCAAATGAATATCATCACTGGTTTTAGAGGATGGAAAGATACTTAAGGAGACTTGGAAGAGATGTATGGCGATCTGTAGAAGAAGGGCCACATGTCCCTGTTTTTACACCAATTTAAACCGACGGCACCACAGCCAGACTAGGAGGAGGTAAACCAGCCCTAAATCGTCCCACCAAAGATGATCTCGATAAAATGGAAAATGATGTTGTTGCTTTTTATGAAATCTCTTGTGGAGTTGCTCCGGACAACGTCGACATTATCATAAACTGTAAATCAGCAATAGAGATCTGGGATGTTCTCAAAAACCTATATGAAGGCACAGAACAAGCTCAAGATAAGAAGCTCACAACCGCACTCAATGAGTTCAATAATTTCAAAGCTCATACTGGCGAAAGTTTGGAAGACTCCTTCAAAAGGTTCAATATGATTGTCACTAAGTTATCTAATGCTGGCACGATCCGAAGCAATCATGAGACAAATCTTCAGTTTCTCAATGGTTTGGGAAGACACTGTACGACTGCTAAGATGATAGTCCAAGGAGATAGAAAGATCCATTCTTTATCTCTCTACAAGCTCTACAGTGAACTGACAGCATTCTTTACGCCAGAAAGAGAGATTGTATTGTAGCTTAACTTCTTAAACAAAGCCGGCTCCAGTTCTATTCAGAATAGGGCAAGAAAGCGACTTGCCGCCTCAATCACGAAGGAATACCGAAGAGCCTAAAGAGGGTGTTAGAATGCAACTAGATAGAGAACTATAAGATAAGAGGGATTCCATGGGTGAGAAGGCTGACATGAAGGATCTCATTCCAAACCGGTAAAGCGCAAGGGGCAAGCAGTTGACTCTTTCACTCGGACTCACTAGCAACTCCAGGAGCGACCCCTCATCATCTTACGATGAAAAGCAGGTTTATTCCATGGTAAACCACAATGAGTAAGCGAGATAGGGTGAGGTAAAGCCTCAGACCGGTCAAAGGAGCCTCCGTAAAACCTCATCAGACAGGTAGCGGAAGCTGATAGAAAGGGGCGATGAGCTCAGTAGAGGAGAAGCCGTCCTGATGAAATAGAAAGCCCTAGCTATGAGTGACTCAAATCTAGCTGTGATGCGCGAGGGCCAATATTCAAATGAAAGCAAGGGGTTGATTGCCCTCATGGGGAAGGGATGAATACGAGCAGTCGGAAGAGCAGCTCTCTCAGAAGCAACCAATCCAAGAATTGATGGATTTGGTAGAGTGCCAGTCACAACACTAGAACCAAGTTAGGTGAGCTTGAAGGCATCGGTTGAAGCCCTTAGTTGCAAGGTCTTTGACTGTGCCCAAGAAAGGGATGGATAATAGATCTTAGATGGTTCCCACTTCCACTTAACAAAGGAAAGATATCACACACTACACAAGACAATCATGTGCAAGCTGCTTGAGTTGAATTAGCCTCAATTCCAATCTTACTCAGATCGCTTCGTGAGCTCATTTAGTAGACATCGAGTGTGCGCCCTTTTAGAGAAGAGATAGGGGCGAGTACTACACGAGCTCGTAAGTCAAGTACGGAACGAGCCTTGTCTACGAAGCAGAGCGACCTCGTCTTGCTTGCTTCTAGCGAAGCTTCTAGCACTGGATAATAGGCATGGCAGGAATACGACTTTTTAGGTCGACCACTACACTACATAGAAGCGATAGCGAAGCCAAGCCGTATAAAGGCGAGCAGCCCTTATAGCAATAGAAAACAACCTACTTATAGCCCTTCCCAATTTCCAGTAGTAAACTTCCCAAGTTTAAGTAGGATAACCCCCTCTCTATTCTTCTCTTCATGTATGTGGGCTGCCTGCCCCGTCCCGAATAGACGAACAGGAACAAGCTGAAGAAGCGAGAGAGATTTGTGATTCCGTAAGTAACTCAGTGCTAAGAACGAAGGGCTTGGAAGAAGAAAATGAAATACGAACAACCGCACTGGTTGTAATAGATCGACTTTCATGCTAGTTCTTGCTCCAGCATGAAAGTTCCATTTCAGGGAAGGACGACGTACTATGATACTTTCTGTTTTGTCGAGCCTTGCTTTGGTCTCTGGTTTGATGGTTGTACGTGCTAAAAATCCGGTACATTCTGTTTTGTTTCCCATCCCAGTCTTTCGCAACACTTCAGGTTTACTTCTTTTGTTAGGTCTCGACTCTTTCGCTATGATCTTCCCAGTAGTTCATATAGGAGCTATAGCCGTTTCATTCTTACTTAAATAAATTCCCATGAGCTGCCTTGAGCTGGTAACTCAAAAATCGATGATTGTTGGCCACTGACTTACTGCTTTCACTCAAATGCCACTGATGCGTAAGACATTGAGTTGGACTACTTTCCTTCTGGTAATGCCTTTCCCTGTGGTCACCTTGTCCTTCTACTTACTGGCTTGGCTATTTCGAAGGATTCTCTTCAGCGGGTGATTTCACTAAAAAACAATTTTTTGAAAGTGGCACTCCTTCCTTGCTTATTACCCCGTAGTGGGATATTTTTTGACAATCGGTCATAGATTCCCTGGCTTGGCTAGGAACCTAGTCCCTTCTTGTGACAACAGAAGAGAAGGAATTGCCTTTTTTCTCTCTTTTTCGCCTTTGGCCTGGTCAAAGCAAAAAAGCCACTACCAACTATGATTTTCCACGAAATGCTAGTCGAAGATCCATTATTTACTTATTTCTAATAAGATAGGACCATCGGAAAGAAAGTCAAGTCGAATCCCGTGGTTTCGGGTGATTCCGCATTCAAATGCTACCCACGTGAATGCTAGTCGAATCCGTATGCCCAAACCACATAAGATAAGCTAAGCAACTAGATCGATTCCAAACGTGTGATTAGTAGCTGATGCACAAAAAAAGAAGAACAGCTTCTTCTTCTATGATGACATCTGCTGCAGATTCAATGACCTCGGTTTACACATTCTTTACTTGAAAAAAAGAGTAAAGTTAGAAGGATTCTCGTCAGAAGGTCAGGTCAGAAGTGGATTCCCGGTACGATATTAGGCTATGATTCCCGGGGAGAGAGAGAACTCTTATAAGAAAATGGGCCTTGAGCCTGCTTCATCGCCTTGACTTGATTCGGGTAAGTCAAAGTAAGGACTTTGCTTTTTCAAATCCCAGACAGGAAGGAAGTCGAAAAAAGATCTGCTTCAGGATCAACTGAAGCAGAAGAAGAGACCTTTTCCCCTTGGGGAATGAAAGAGATCATCTTTATAAAAATGAAATAAGACGTGTTCACTCTATAAGAGCCCTTGGTCTTAGTCTTAAAGAGAAGGAAGCCGACAATAGCACGATAGCAAAGAGCAAAGCAAGCTAAGCGCGCAGAGAGAGCAACATATAGCGCGAAAGAGTCCAAATACAAGAAAGGAAGAGCGCGAAGCTTGTGGTCCGTTCCTTTCCCAAATATAGTGGAACTTGCCCGAAGGAAATATTTTATCTTCTTGCCGGGAAAGAGTTTGATTACCATAAGTGGAAGTTCAAACCTTATATCTACGATATATAGGATATAATGTCAGAAAAAAAGAAATTTTGGTAGATAGTATGGCTTGACAATGTCGAGCTAAGACTATCGCGAAGTAAACATAGGGTCTGTCTCAGCCTTGACTATGGAATCTGATTTCCTAGCGACTATGTTCCCCTTTTTTCCTGCAGTCTTTCCAGCTATGGATCCTACAATTCCCTATGAAGCTCCCTGACAACCCCTTCAATCCATCTTCATCTTGGCTGGCAGCCTAGATTGAGCCCTGGGACTGATCTTCCCGTTGGCTTTACTGCAGCAGTACTCACAGTGAAAGGTCAGCGGGGGGCATAGCGAAATTCCTCACTGAGATGACTGGACAACCTATCGACCAGATCGCACCAGCGGAGCGATTCAAAGCCTCTTTGGAGCGAATTCCTTTGAAGTAGTTAGTGCTCTAATTGAGTGAGTCGTGGATCATAAATGATGAGCGTAGCTATTTAGCTGATCTCACACCGAACTATAAATAAATAAGTGAGTGGCTCTTTATAGCCCAATGGCTACCACCGGAAGTGCGCTAAGTTAGTCACAGGGGAACCCCAAGTTCTTTCTCCGACTCTATAAAATAAACTTGGATGGCTTGCTTGCTTGTTTAGCTTGCCCCCTCTTTGAATGTGTACAATTCGAAGATAAGTCCGTAAATTGGGGTACACCGGAAGTGCTGCCTGCGCCCAAAAGCGATGATTCACTTGTCCCCTTGTCCATAGGGACCTCGTGGCATACAACCGAAACGACTCCCGCTAGATAGCCGCCCCTTTCTCTCTTTTTACAGCCTCGTGGACGGACAAAAGAAGGTAAGTTACAGAACGGGGCAGTGAAGGCTCGCGAAGTAGACAGCAAGCAAGAGCTTCTCAGCCCCCTATTCTCTTAGTCAAGCGCTAGCGCGCCCCTCTCTCTAAAGGGGCGTAAGCACTTTACTCGCTAGGGGATGGGATTCATTCACTTGTATTCCTGCTAGCACTACAAAAAGCTCCGGTCTTAACGCCCCTACTACTGCTGTGTAGCCTTTCCTCGGGTTCGTAGAGTCGGGTTTCCCGTTTACCCACAACGGAGGAGCCGCCCCCACCAGGCAGGCGGCCACGGGTTATAACGCACTCTTCGCACAACAAATCCACTTTGAAGTTGACTTATTCGCTCGGCCAATCGTCGGAATGTGTACGAGATACCATAAGGGCCCAATATCTCAATAGCTCCTTTGTCTAAAGCTTCGAATGAAACTTCATATCCGAAACGCAGGAACGATCTGACTAGAAAGTTATTAAAAACTTGATCGAAGAACCAGCGTTTATTGATGAAGCTATAGAGTCGATTACAAAAAGTACTAGTTTGAAAGGCTCGTTGGAATTGATCCGCTACTGGATTTACATTATACGCAACAGAAGCACCTGAGTACTAAACGGAATAGGTATTAATTTGGTAATGGTTGGAGCAGCAAACTCATATTCGGCAAGAATCTCATTTTTTGGTAGTACGAAGGGGGAATTGGCCCAAAAATTGGATAGGGGTCAAGACGCTGTCGGGCGCCGGCGGCTGACTCGAGTGCCCCCCCAACCGCACGAAATGGTCGCCTATTACACGGCTCACTAACTCTGCCTGGAGTGGTGGTACCTATTATTCGTCGGCGGGGGCGGTCCGGCGATACGTAGATGACTTTTGGCTGGTACAACCACTTGATTGTCCACTTCTAATAAACGTAATTGTGCCAATTCCAGTTTTGAACTACCGCAGACTTGTTTCATAGTTTTCAACTGAGCGGCAGACCCAACACGACTGACAGATAAGCCGACGTTAATTAAACTAGGAGTCTAATTTGGTAATGGGCTGTTCATTTTTCTAGTTCATTTTAGGATCGCAACTTCTTGCGTAGTCCGTGCCAGTAGTGATATCCTAATTCGGCTACCTCTCCCACTCATCAACACATAACATTAGAAAGGTAAACTATTGCCAAGAGAGACCGGGGAACGCTCTGCCCCTTCACCTGCAAAAGGATCCGTTACCGGAGTGTTGCGCTTCTCAGGGCCGTCTGAGTCAGAGCAACCCCGCCGGGGCGATCCAGTTACCCGGATCACTATTATTCTAAAACCATTGAACCGTACTAGCTTCGTTACAGACTTGATACTGAACTGTTCACCATCCGAACATTCGCTAGCTGGCAACACAACTTTGACCACCCAAAAAAAGATCTCAAGTGTTTAGGCGGGGACAGGATTCGAACCTGTAATCTTCAGATCATGAGCCTGATGAGTTGACCATTCCTCCACCCCGCTGTATGAATTCCCATTGAAAAAAGTTTAATTAGCTAAGATCGATCAGAAGGTGTGTTAAGCATATAGTAATTGTGGTTACAGACGGGTTCAGTTTGCGATTAGACTAAGAACCATCTTTTTCTAAGAAAATTGCTTCACTTCTCCCTCCTGTCATGTATTGTCTCTCTCTCTTTCCGCTGATAGAGGAGTTAGCTAGTTTGCATTCCTCTATCTTCATCTCTAATACTAATAGGCGACAATCACCAACTTCATCACTGCCTTCTTGTGACACATCGATTGTGTTCCCACCCAGTTCACTATTTCAGAGCTCTATCCCTTTCTGGGTCTAGTTTTCCTCTCACCCGGAAGGTGGCTAACTCCTTGGTCTTACGAGCTGCTTACGCTAACTGAAGCAGGTACCGGGAGGTACATCTTAGGCAGTAGAATCGAGCGGTGCCGTTCATTGACTACATACGCGTTTATGAATAAATGAAATGGTCTCATCTATTGTAGCGATACGAACTAAGAAGCAATCATCTCCGGGGAGTAAGATGATAGTCTGGACAGGTTCTTGGAGGCCTCTAAATAGCACGGGTCCAAGCTTGATTGATTGATTCTTTTCAAAGAAGCTCCTATAACCAATCTAAGCATTAGCATTTTCACCATTCTAATGGAAACACAATTCATTGGATTCAAGCCCTTCTTGAAAGAAGTCCTCTAACTAGATCAGCAAAGTAGGTAGCACCACTCAATTGATTCTATAACTCACCATAGCAAGGTAAGCAACTCTGTCTGAGTCGTTACTAACAACCGAGAAGCTAGTCTCTCAGCTGATAGCTCATCGGATCATGCAGCTCCTGATCAAGTCATAGAAAGAAGGAAGTCCGAACTCAAAGCCAGTGTCTGAGCCAGCTGTCCTTAGTAGACTGGAAGCCAGATAAGGAAGTCTGGTCTAGCTCTCGAAAGTGGAAGGCAGAAAAAGGATAGCGATTAGACTAAGAACCATCTTTTTCTAAGAAAACTGCTTCACTTCTCCCTCCTGTCATGTATTGTCTCTCTCTCTTTCCGCTGATAGAGGAGTTAGCTAGTTTGCATTCCTCTATCTTCATCTCTAATACTAATAGGCGACAATCACCAACTTCATCACTGCCTTCTTGTGACACATCGATTGTGTTCCCACCCAGTTCACTATTTCAGAGCTCTATCCCTTTCTTGGTCTAGTTTTCCTCTCACCCGGAAGGTGGCTAACTCCTTGGTCTTACGAGCCGCTTACGCTAACTGAAGCAGGTACCGGGAGGTACATCTTAGGCAGTAGAATCGAGCGGTGCCGTTCATTGACTACATACGAGTTTAT